AGATCAGATACTTTTACGTGATTGCATTACATCTTGCCTGGATTACTGTATTAAAGAGAAATACAGTTCACGGATTCTTGTATCGCTATCCGATCAGTAAAATAGCAAACGGTTGCATACGATCGGAGCAGGTGGGTGGAAGTCGACACTCTATGCCAAAATATTTGAAGCGAGCAGAAAATTATTATATTGTAACGAATAGATATTTTTTATTGCTTTTTTTCAATGGTACAACACGACGACTACTACAGCGTTGTTAATTTGTTCAACATAACGGGTAATTGAAAAGTGTAATATAGGCCTACTATTATCAACATTTTTCTATAGACACGACCAAAAAGCATCTACTACTAAACTCTGAAGTAGTGTTTATTAACTTTTTGAGGTACTTAACAGTAACAGCTTAATATGTGCAGTCACTGAACACTTCTTAATACTTGTAACGTCCACATTGACAAAATCCGAACGTGAATCCTATGTGTCGGGGGTGTGTCTTGACCTCCATGGAAGCCCTGAGACTGACTTACCGAACCTCTTGGGTTCGATGGAACCCACTGTTCTAAACTTCTGTGATTTTCCTAATTTTATTCGTTTCTTCTTCCCATGGAGCTTAGGCGACACTTCCTCGACTGACTTAATATTTATGAAGATCTAAACCTAATAATCCTGCCTCCCCGTTTTCTATTTTAAACGATATCCTTCATGACTTATTTGGTCCTTTTCTCTTCCTCTTTCCCCATGAACCTAATACAAGCAGCTTTATAGTGAAGATATTTTCTGTCTTTCTGATATTGTGCATTAACCACCACCTATTCAATCGCAACTGTCTATAATCTAACTCAGAGCCATACAGTATAAGAGACTTCATATTAAGATAAAGATGTTGATTGAATTTTTTAACTTGCATTTCAATTCCACATTGGCTTAGTATGTTAATTACGTTTTAAATATTATTACGATGGTGTATAGCCTAGGAGTTTATTTATAGGATGTTACTTTGTATTTATTTCTCAAATGTAAAAAAAATATTTTAAAGCTTGGTTAAAGCATATGCTTTCTGGCAACAAAGTTTTTGAACCAGCATTTCATGCATATAGTACGCTTTACTGTCATTATTTTTGTCTGCTTTTCCGGCTTGTGTAAGATCTGCACAGAATGATTGTGAACTACCAATACAGGAAGAGATTGAAAGTCGAATCACCGGATGTAAAAAAAAATGATCCGCCACCTGATGGTGACTCAGGGGATATAATAATATTAATAACCAGGTAAATGGCAACTTGGGGGAGAAATACAATAGGCGCTAGGTCGATTGTGATGTCTTTTGTCTAAGCCAAAACCAAAATCTCCACCTCAACTTCAAATTTAACCGGAAATGAAAAATATAATTGAATAAAGATTTTTGTCCAGAAACGGTATTCTAACAGGAATTAATCTTGTTCGGTAAGTAGATACTGCACATATAGTCGTACTTATATCTGTAAACCTTGCATATTAACTCTGACTTGACAAAATGCGCATTTATATGGTCAAATCACCGCTATGGTCAAAGCCTCACTGCGGTCAAACCCCCTATGGTCAAAGCCCCTATGGTCAAAGCCCCGCTGTGGTCAAACCCCATATGGTCAAACCCCCTATCGTCAAAGCACCTGAGGTCCGCGTACCCTTCTAAATGTAAATTATAACTTTATTAAATTTACTGACAGAATAAAAAAGCACATCCTAATATGTGTTTTACATTGGTTTGTCGTGTATATTTTATAAAGTTTTATTAAATTGTAATATGTGATTATATTGACCAAAGCAGGATTATACAATATAGGACATCATAAAAAATACTTTTTTAAGAACATATACATTTTTAAAAAGATAATTGCTAATATATTGGCCATTTATACAATCATTTTAAATTTCTATGCATTGGTTTTACAAAAAAAAAACAACGATCTAGTACTTTGCCATAATTTCTGACTGAGCCATATAGTTTTTTTTTTAATCATTTGTGTAGTTCATAATAATTATCTGATCTTTAAATTTCCAGTTATTTGAGCAGTAAGAGACTGAAGTAATGCCAGCCCTTCTCCATTCATTGAACAGACTCAAATAGGCTGAGGAAAACAACGGTCTGCTTTAGTCTCGTCTCTGAATTTCATCTCTGACATCAAACTCCTCAAGAGGAAAGTAAGTGAATACATTATGAAATGTGTAGCTTACTTTGAAATTACTCTGTAACAAGGAATATCCTAGTAAGTGTTAGCCAACCGCTAAAACAACCTGTCTATTGAAATAACCGCGACCCTCACACATTGACAAGAAACATGATTTCATGACAAATGATCTATGACAAAATATCTCAGACAAATTATCACAAAGTAAAATATTTAAGTAACTATGATTCTTTTAGTCGATTTTAACATTTTTGTATTTCTTGTCAAATGGATTTTATGTTGGCCTACTTTATTTACGATCAGAAGACTATGTGAACTTTTTTTGTTGTAAATAGCACTTTGTATAAATGTTTTAGATATAAAAATGCATAAAACAAATAAAATGATGATACGTTAACCGAATTAATGTCAAAATATGTAAAGTATTTTCCAAAAAGAAAGAATTAAGATTTGGTTTTACAGGTTCGTAATGTGACATTGGTGTTTTAATTGCTTAATCAATGCTAGCCTACTGTTGTCCAGCGAAAATCTGACTTCTTAAAAGAGCAGATACCCCTCTGAGACGATTTAAATTTAACACATACCATGGGTTACCAGTCAGTGGGATAATTTAACAATTTATTTGTTTGCGACCCCTGTTAATATGTTATAGGCAATGTGACGAGCCTATGCCAAAAATCTTTTCTCACTAAACCATTTAGACAATCTATTTTTTGTAAGATTTTAAAATAAAACTAAAATTATCTTAAATACTATACAAATTTTGCTGTGAGATATTGTCTGATATATTTTATTCTGAAATATTTTGTCTGTGGATCATTTGTCCTTGAGATTATGTGTCTTGATATATTTCATCTGGATGATTTGTCCAGAGAATATTTGTCATGGATCTATCTATCTATTGTCGTTTTGCCTTTCCGTTTTTCTCCTGTCTGACACGGTACCCTGCAATAAAGTTTACGATATTGATGGGTTGTTTGATTTTGTAACACACCCATATCAACTCAATTTTCTTTTTTTTTTATAATTTAGGACACACAAACATTTTCTTCGGGAAGGTGAGGGGGGTATGTTTTTGTTTACTAACTATTAGTATTAATCAATACCAGTTAAAAGCCGCTCCGAAATGCACTCTATGTTTACTTCTATCTTTCCGTTTGCGAACAAGCGAGGGTATTACAGTCGTTCACTATATTGAAGCTTGAACGTCAGCCGGCGCTCCGACACGGTTCGATTTTGCGACCAAAACCCAAAGCTACGTACGTTTTAAACTGGGCGATTGGTTTTTACAGCTATTTACTAAGTGAATCAGTTCCACCTCGGCTTGGTGCGATTTGGAACCCCGGGCTATATTGTGAATACTATGCTTTTATGTTTGTATTTAAGTTTGTATTTATTTTATGCGTTCTTATTTGCGCTTAGGTTTGCGTTTGTGTTTGCGTTATGTTTCTGTTTTTGTGTGCGTTAGTGTTTTCGGTTATCATTGCGGTAGTGTTTGCAATTTTGTTTGTGTTTGTGTTTGAGTTTGCATTCGTGTTTGAGTTTGCATTTTTGTTTTGCAGTTATGTATTTTTTTAGTTTTTTTGCTTTTTTTTTTCGTTCACTTATGTGTTTGCGTTTGTTTTCGCTTTTGCGTTTACGTTGTTGTTTGTGTTTTTGTTTGGGGTTGTGTTAGCGTTTATGTTTTGGTTTTTGTTAGTTGTGGTTAGGGTTAATTCGAAAACTAATATATTTTCTAAACCCGGGCAATGCCATTATATGCTGCTTAATAAATTCACAAGGTATGGTCCTTTACAGATAGGTTTTTCACAGAGGCTAGTGCAGGGCCCGACTGGAACGGTTAGTCTAAAATATAAAGTTCGATTCTGTATGTTTGTAACCAAGGATTACAAAGGCAAATAAGAAACAATTATGCTTCTTTGGCGTAAAGTGTTAGATATCTAAAATGATCACCGTTTAAATTCATGATTTTAAAAATTCATATTGAAGGTTCTGTAAAACAATTTTCATTTTTCAAACTTATAATAATAATTGCAAGCATTTTAAAAATATATCATCTTTGCCACAAATTTAAATTATGTCTGACAATTATTTACATTTAGTTCCATGGATAAATTAGAAAACACAATTACTTCCCTTTATAAAAAAACATACATCGGAGAAAAAAATTATTTTGTTTTGACGTTGGGAAAAAAATCATACATAACTTGCGCGGATTGATCAAGTACAATGTGGTAGGTGATTTAGATACTCTTTTTTATTTTTGTTTATGCACTGTTTATGTACTGAACGTACTTTCAATTCAATACAGATACCCATTCCTGAAAGAACGCTGTTTATGAATTTAAAAAAAAAAAACGGAAAAAATAATGACTTTATTATACATAATATTGCCATATTTGAAATGAGGAATATTACATATATAAGTAAAACATATTTTAAAAAATAAATTGAAGTTTGTTTAAAGTGCAGATGACGGTTGGGCTGGAATATCATTAGCATGAACTTTACTTCTAAGAAAACTAACATGAAAATAGATTTTGAATCGATATTGCTTTTCTATAACACCCAGTTTGGCCTTTATATGCTTTGTATTGTGTAATGTCTTGAAGACCGTGTCCAATAAGATGTTTTAAAATTATACTACAACCATTATTTAAGCTGGGGCTAAAACTTAAACGCTTTTAGTCTTACACAATTTTTACCCTAATAAAACAATTAATTGATTATTTAGCTTATCCTAATTCTAGTAATACGAACAATCTAGGTAAAGCAGTAGTTTACGTTTTATAAACAAATTGCTATTACCTAAGTTGACTAACATTAACATACCTCAACACTTTTTGCAGATCTAGAATGCAGAAATAAAAATAACATAAGTTAATATAGGAAAATATACAATCAATAAGCTTTCCTGATTTGACAGCTATTTATACCAGTTTTTTTATATGACAGCTTGGGAGGAGTTTATACTAATGATAATCGAATAATTAAATAAATCGATCAATAGGGCTTATGTAATGCACAATATATGTGTGTCTGTCCGTCTATAGGTCTTTTAGTCTGTCCAATTGCAAGTCATTTCAACGGTATCCCTGTTCTTATGCCCGTCTACCTCACTGTCTGTCTGTCTTGTGTTCGTTAATACGACTGTAAGTCTGTATTCTGTTCACGTTAGTCTGTTTACCTGTCTGTCTACATGTTTTATCTGAATGTCTGGACTATATGTCTGTCTGTCAGTCCGTTCTTCCGTCTGTCCTCCCGTCCATACATCCACCTTTTTGTATGACCTATGTCTGATCTTTCTGTTCTGTCTGTTCGTCTGTTCTGTCTGTTCTGTCTGTTCTGTTCTGTTCTGTTCTGTTCTGTTCTGTTCTGTTCTGTTCTGTTCTGTTCTGTCCTGTCCTGTCCTGTCCTGTCCTGTCTGTCTGTCTGTCTGTCTGTCTGTCTGTCTGTCTGTCTGTCTGTCTGTCTGTCTGTCTGTCTGTCTGTCTGTCTGTCTGTCTGTCTGTCTGTCTGTCTGTCTGTCTGTCTGTCTGTCTGTCTGTCTGTCTGTCTGTCTGTCTGTCTGTCTGTCTGTCTGTCTGTCTGTCTGTCTGTCTGTCTGTCTGTCTGTCTGTCTGTCTGTCTGTCTGTCTGTCTGTCTGTCTGTCTGTCTGTCTGTCTGTCTGTCTGTCTGTCTGTCTGTCTGTCTGTCTGTCTGTCTGTCTGTCTGTCTGTCTGTCTGTCTGTCTGTCTGTCTGTCTGTCTGTCTGTCTGTCTGTCTGTCTGTCTGTCTGTCTGTCTGTCTGTCTGTCTGTCTGTCTGTCTGTCTGTCTGTCTGTCTGTCTGTCTGTCTGTCTGTCTGTCTGTCTGTCTGTCTGTCTGTCTGTCTGTCTGTAAAAGTAAAGGCGGCATGACATAATGGTGACAAATCTGTCTCTTTATTTGCCGAAGTCACATAATCAATAGACTTCTACCTCACTTGGCCCATAGACCGTCATGATTGAAAATAATCTTTACTACTAATTTCTAATCTGACTACATAAGGTTACAGGAAAAATCCCCTTTTGAGAAAATAAGTTTCAAAGTTTTAAAAACCGAAAATGGCAAGGGTATACGAAAGTACGCATTTTACTACATTATCGAAACTAGTCTTGTATTTAAATGTGGACGTATACATAAAAAATGGACCCATATTCTGATGGATGAATGGGAAATATGGCAAAAATTCTGGTTAGCAAAGTACATTAGCATCATCTGTCAGAAGATTTGAACTAGGTAATTGTCGTGTTGGCATCCGTACACTCTCCAACCTCGACAATGCCGATCCAATAATGATGTATATCTCTTGATGAAATGTACAAAAATATGCTCTGCATATGTTATTAGAAGTGTTTTAGATAGTTATATTTGTAGGTATATTAAAAGTCCCTAGATGCAATATTTGAGATATTAATCTTCAAGGCTGTCAAATTAACTGGGGCTAGGGTAAGGTGGATATATAGATTAAATTAAATTTAAATTAGCTCCTTAATTTTTTGACAGACCTCTGTTTTATGTGAATAAATTGACTTATTGAATGTTTAAATGACAACCCATATTATTTACCAAATAAAAACCACTCACATAATTTTTTCTCAATGAAAACACCGCCCGAATGACTAGAAAAAGCTTGTTTTACTTCAACACTTTTTTTTTTTACTTCCTTTATAAACAATCCGTCTAATTGCTAACCAAACAAGGACCCGCTAGTGATAGACGAAGTCTATAACGCTCTAAACCTAATAAAATTTTAAAATCAATATACCTACTGGTCCGGCTAATTGCATCGTTTGAAATCACAACTTTGCGTAAGAATTAACGTGTTTTGAATGTTAGGTCTAATTGTTTGAAATGACAGGTCGGTAATTGACGTTTTTTATGTAATTAATTAATTTGAATTAAAATCTAAACTTGGCTCCGTGTTGGAGCGACATTGATTCGCCTAGGTTTATCTCATAAGTATAGACAAAGAAATAATAAACACATGATTTATTGACAGTGATGAATTAATGGGTTGTACACGAGCAGGGGCGTAGCGAGGGGGGGGGGGGGGGGCGGGGGGGTGCGGACCGCACCGGGTGACACCATTTAGGGGGGTGACACCAAGGCAAAAAATAGCAAAATATATAGAGAAAAACTCGAGGGGGGGGTGCAAATCGAAAACTCGAGGGGGGGGGTGCAAATCGAAAGTTTGAGGGGCGTGCAAATCGAAAACTCGAGGGGGGGTGCAAATCGAAAGTTTAAGGGGGGGGGGGGGTGCAATCGAAAATTTGAAAGTTTGTCCCTGTGAAGGGTCTCTATGCCTCTGGGGGGGTGACACCATTAAGTGCCGCACCGGGTGACACCCGACCTCGCTACGCCACTGTACACGAGGTCCACACATTTTCTTTTAACGACGATCGTTAAAATTTTCCTATTAATTTTTTATTTGTTTGCAAACTAAATGTATGATAGAACCAGATTTGACGGTGTGGCCTAGCGGTAGAGTCTTAAGTTGTAAACCCGGGTTCAAATCAGTGGAACGTCCCATAATACTGGGTAACTAACATATGAACAAATGTGGCTGGGCATAGTGCTACGACCAACTATCTTTTCACATGCTGAGGTCTCTAATGCGAATGAACTTTGGCACGACCGGGACAAGATGATGTATAAAAATGTATTTAATGTTATTAATTTTGTAACTAAGTATTATATTTGCAAACATTCCAGAACATCGCATCTTGACAAAGACGACATGAAAAACATAGGGACATTCTAAATACTTATTCATGTTTCTGTATTTTTAAAGTGTATAACACATAAAGGCTCAGTTACAGTACTTAATTTCAAAATAATTTGCGCATTTTGAAAGAGCATATTAAATGTAATACACTATTTAAGATCTTGTTAGCGAGCTGGATAGAATTTAAATTCAGTAGAATGAGAAAATAGTTTGAAAATAAAGATGTTCTTTAAATATTAGGGCTGTTAGTCAACCGACCAGTTAGGTTAAGCTTTGTGTGACGGCAAGCCTTTTATTCACAAATCTAGAAGAACGTTGTTCTTAACAAACTAAACACAAAGAAAAAAGCAAGATATAAATTTAGTACTGAATAAATAAATAGTGACTAGGTTGAATTTCCATTCGTTGATGTTTGTAAGGATTATAAGAAGAAAAGAAAATACGTCAGTAAAAGAATGTAATTTATCGATGATTTTCTCTATCTTTCTCTCTCTCTCTCTCTCTCCCCCTCTCTCTTTCTCTTTTCCTCTCTCTCTCTCTCTCTTTTTATAGTACAAGAGTTTAGCTTAATCAGTGTTTCTTCCAGACTTTTTTCTCCGGGGGGGCACTTGAAATCTTCGGGGGGGCGGTAAACTTTCTTCGGGGGGGCGGACACTGTTAAAAGTATATATTTTCTATATAAATTATATAAATTTCATTTCGTTCGGGGGGGCGGTAAAAATTTTTCGGGGGGGCTTAGCCCCCCCGAAGAGATGCCTGGAAGAAACTCTGAGCTTAATGGAGAAATAAAACGACACGTGAGTGTTATTATAATGACACGAATAATTTCAAACATAAAACAGTTGGAAGAAGAAAACAATTTTAAAAATCTTATTTAGATTTTGACCGAATTATATTTTTATTTTTTTAATAATTAATTATATTGGCGAAAGAATAAAACTGCATTAACATAGTTATATCTTTATATCAGGTGTGATAAGTGTGGTATATAAATGGCTGAGACGTGTGACCTTGTTTTCTAAAACTGAGTTATTTAAATGTACACAATACCTGCGTAATATTTTTTATCACATACGTCGGGGCACGTGTTTGCACACGATCGAATAGCACACACCAGGACGTGTTGTATTGAAGGTCTTGTGTACATTAATCACTCTGTTTAATAGTGAGGTAAAATACACTTTGGCGACTGGCGTGATTTCCACGGTTACAATATCGCAAAGGCGTCACGTACTGTATGTGATGGGGGATTTGTATGGGTTTCTCTATGAATCTGTATGAAGACTACTCCTATAACTAATACCTCGACTATTAACTTGTGATGAGGACAGGAACACTCTTATTTTCCGACGACACTAATTAACGATATCAACAACTTCGATCATGAAATATAATTAACTTTATTATCAAACACTAATAATATACAATATCAAAGCACGTCCTTTTCCTAAAATGTCTAACCCCCCAACTGTCTTCACTGTTGCGGCCTACGTCATCGGTAACATTGTCGCGTCACGCTCACGTCAAACTCACGCCACACCAGGATAATTCCCATTACCTCTACATCGGTGTTGCACTCACTGACACTAGTACAAAAAGCTAGTCCTATTTTGTTTTGTGTCGTCTTCAAATCGTGTCTGACGTCTTTTTCTCTTTCTGATAGAGCTGTGTCTATTGTCTGTATCTTGATAGATATTGTCTTAAATCCCCTAGCAGGTCTGTAAATCTTCTTAGTCTTACTTGAACCTCAAACTTAATTCGTGAGCGGCAGAGAAAATGAGCGGCAGAGAAAAACTTGTTAAAGTTAAAGTTTTGTTTAAAATTTCAGTTGTCATCTTTAAAATGCATTGTTTTGTCTCAAAGAATCCAAACTTGCTCCTTTTAGGCTTCCCAGCTTGGCACTATTGTATCAATAGTCACTTGAAGACTCTTTCTGTAAGGTTTAAACGACACGATTTGACGCGTTCATTGGTGCTGATACCATAGCATCTCTTTTGGTATTGTTTTTATTCATGTTTGCTATAATGTTTAAAGCACAAATTATGGCTCTAAATTATATTAAGAAGAAAGACCACCATCAGATTCTATTTCATGTAAAATATTTTCATTGTTACTTCATTTTCAACATGATAATTTTTTCATGCGGTGTTTACACCAACAAAATGGCCAAAAATAAACAAAACTATACAGAAGTTAAGAAGATGCCATATGATATAACCATATAACCAGTGTTATTCAATATATGAATGTCCCTATAATATAATAAATGTTAATATCTTCCATTCTTGAGTATAGAAAGATTTAACACGTTTTAAAATGCACTGGTTTATTGTATTTTACCTCTACAACTTACCTGCACTTAATGTATTAACATTGTTTTATTACTAATCGAATAACAATGTCTGATGTGCGTATTGTACGCTAACTGACCTACAAAGTGTCAACACACGTTTTTGTCTTTAGCAATTATTGGTTACGACTGTTCGTCTCATTGCTGTTTAGGTCGTTCTGACTGGCCAATGTCTTATATAAACTACGACCTAGTTAAACTACATGTACCATTGTATCACAACATTGAAGATAATTCTGATAATGTCTGTATTTTAAGTAAGGTATAATCGAGGAGAAGAAAATATATTTACAGTAAATTATCCTTGGTTAGATAGGTTCGTCTACTGTTAAATAGTTTGCAAAAAATAAAAAGATTTTTAATTATTTTGTATAAACCCATAGAGCAGCTTCCCTTTTATTTAGTGTATTAGTTGTGTTACAACAGTCAGTGTTCTAAAAAAAAAGAAATTAATCCTAAATAGAAGACTAAATATACAAGAAGCTCGAAAACATACGTAACTAAACGATCCAATTGAGAAGCATTTTTAAATGTGTAATTTAGAATTACCTTATATTTCACTCTGAATTTGAATCCCTTCTATTTATAACATCAGGGACATTTTTTGCTAATTGAATAGTTTAGTCGAACGTGTCATTTGAGATAAACATGTAACAGCTGTTTCATTATCTTACACATTAATTTGTTTACGCTCAAGATCCAACTGATAAACAGAAAAATTGCGAAAATCGTTTTTCTAAAATAACAAATTGATTTATCTTGCTAATACAATATTTATAAAATAACATAATTATACCATTTTAGTGTAATGCTTTCTACATTGTTCATTCAATTTAAATATGTGAAGCGTAAACCGCTTCTGTCTACAAAGCGGTGTTGGTGAAATATAGTTACAGCAATATAGAACGGTTTTAATTAGAGAGATAGAAGAATAAAAAAAAAATGATAAACAACTGCATAATAGGACGTTTGCGTCAAAAAATCTTTCAGTATATACATTGCTGTTTTATGTAGGTTGTCGTTTGACCTACTTTTTTTTCATCGTCATGGTAATAATGGCTGCCGAAAACGACGATACCGTGATTCCGTTTTTTTTATTAAGAATGTTTGATGGTCATTTCAGAAATATATACTAATAATCTTTATTTCTGCATTTTATTCAACGATATCGATCTAATATTAACACTAAACGATTAGAAGTCTGATGCTAGCTTGCCATTTGTACATTTTCTTTTGTCTAATCGCTAAGAATATCGAACAAAACGTAATATAGGTAAGTTAAACGGGAATTGCTTTATTTAACACTTTTGTAAACTTACTCAAACTATTGTAAACTATAGAAAAGTATATATTGCGTCCTACTAAAATGATTTCATTAATTTTTTAAATTCATGCAGGATAAAACAAAACAGCCAAACAAAAAACTTGATCGAGACAATAGTTAACTAAGCCTACCCACATTGCCCGTGTATTTGAATGGGAAGAAATCTAGCTAAACGGCAGTGAACGGTCACTCGCGTCACAACAATACTCCTTAAACAAGCTTTTATGTAATAATGCACTAAAAAGTAGAAAATATACACTACTATTTAAATAACTATAAAAAAAAATGTGGGTCTCTTCCTAAATATTAGACACTACTATTTTAATTACTATAAAGAAAAGCGTGGGTCACTTTAGTATCTATTGGATACCTTTACTAATATTTAGGAAGAGACCCACGCTTTTCTTTATAGTTATTTAAATAGTAGTGTATAATTTATTTTTTACTTTTAGTGCATTATTACATATACGCTTGTTAATAAACGTTTTTTTTAATGAATTTTTTTTCAGTACTTTACATGTTTTATTTACAATAGTTACATGACTAAAAACCTTTGTCAAGTTTATAGCATAAGTTTCAGTAAAATATTATGGAATAGCTTAGTCTAGTGGTAAAGAACTATACTGCTGACCCGACTAAAAACCATCGTGCGCCTATGGAACGTGATGTCGCGCTTTTGACGAAGAGCCCCCTTCGCTCCATGTCCCACACGGCCGTGATGACGCGTGTGGATAGAACTGCCTAATAATTCGGTCCAAATTTTAATTAATTCATAAAAAAAAAATTAGGCTTCCAATAAAGTCAAATTTAATGTCATAACGCATTGTCTTCATATCTTGATCCACGTACAAATTAAGAACCGTATCTGTCAATTAGAAGTGTCCAAATCTTCGCTCCGGCGTTTCGATCTAGACAAACAGGAAGTGAGTGTTATAAAAGCTAGTAAAAACGAACCCACCGTATCACTGAATTTCAGTCATATTATACCATTTAAAAACAAACGCCGTTAATTACAAATCATTTTCTAAGCTACCGATTAAATTTGATAAATAAAATTGGTATCAAATTAAAGGTAAGTGTAGTTTTTATTTGTTTATGTCATCTTTAACTATAAAGTTTAAAATCTTAGTCGTCACCTTAGTTTTATGTAGTTATCTTTTAAAAGAACGATAATCATAGAATTCTATTATTTTAAAACATTTTCAATGTTTCTTTCCATGGATCATAAACGTACAATTCAGGTTCAACATATGAAATAAAAAACATGTATACACAAGTATAAATTTATCATTTCAGCTTGTTATTACTTTGACTAATATTAAATGCATTCAATAGCTTGAAAATGGACTGTAACTAACAGTTAAATCAATCCCACATCTCCCCACAATAATTTCCTTCAGAGTTTGATCTACTGTGGGGATGGTGGTACGGCCACCCGACATGTCCCAGCCTGTAGACAGACGCTCCACTGGAGCCTGGACACGTACATGTTGTGTACCAGTACCTTGTCAAAGTTTCATCATCATCATCGTCATCATCCCTCTCATGTTTGTGTGTCCATTGTCCTACAGAGACCTGTTTAGGACAGCCATGAGGATGTGACACTATAACAATCAACTTGACCACATCATGAAATCTCCTGTATTTGTCCTCTACTTCCCCACATAAATCATCAACGTGCTGGCACATCTTGTCCAGTTCATCAACCAACTTTAAGTCACATGTGGAATATGTCAACCTACACCAGTCTTCCTCAATGTTTGCCTTACGCCACACCTCCCAGCCATCAAGACTGACCACTGGACTTTTATTGTCAACAAAACCTAAAACACACCTGGTCTGTCTCGCCTCACTGTCATCAAATACCACGTGTGTGGCTGTCAACACATGAACCTGTCCCCACACCTTGCTGGGTGTTGCAGAGTCTTGACAATTGGCACAATGACAAGTTCCGTCAATCTCTGTGTACTTGTACACACTCCACACCCTTCCTGTCCCTAACCTCATCACGTGACTTCCTCCGTCATTATAATATGGATATGGAACTTGAGTGCCTGGGTAAAACTCTGGTCTCTCTAGACTGGTGAATTTAGTCTTTACCTGGACAGTTAAGGCTGCCAATGTTTTGATTGTCTCAGACATGAAGTCGTCGTCATGGAAACGTGAGGGGAGTTATTTTGTGTTGAAATCTTTAAGAGGTATAAAACCTTTGTGACCTGGATTCTTCTTACAGCCATTAACATGTTTGTGTAGATCAGCTTCTCCTACATAGCACATCTCAGCTTCATGATTTCCTACAGGAATAGGGGAAACAGATTGTTTAAACAGTCTAAAATAGCTAAACAAGAATTTTCAGATACCGTTTAAAATGATACAATTTTCTTCATTTAATCAAGTATGAATTTACGATAATAAAGTCATCTATATGTTTTCACTAGCACATATTTATAGTAGCTTAAACCTGTTGCTTTATGTGTGTCATATTTCTCACCTGAATTAAAGACATCTGTTTGGACACTTTTGATAACTTTACTTAGACTCTCACAGTATGGCATATCTAAAATAAAAGGAAAAGAAAACACATACATTAACTTATAATTATAGTGACAAGTAGTGTGTCATTACTGAGATAAACTCTTATGGCTTGACTAATACACTCTCAAAGCTCAAAGTCCCGTAAAAAAGAAAATACATTTTTGTAGAATTCATTAGGTATTTAAAATTAACTTTTACACTTATTGATACACATGTATGTTATTAAGGAATGGATCTTTAAAGTATTTGAAATTTAAAATATCATAATAGATTTTAAATGAGCTAAACATTTGGTCAATGAATCATTTATTAAGCTCTACCGTCAGGTGTACTTGATGGCTCCAATTTTCTTTTTCTCACTTTGTTTTGGGTTTTCATTGTTTTTGTTACTGTAGATATGATTACACATTATTAATTTAAAATAGAAACTAGGGCTTAATAAGTGCACTAATGAAGAATTTAAACAAATAAACATTTGTAGGTTTAACTTTACATCTGCGCATAAAAGTTTCTAGAGTTTATGAAACAACTAGTAACTTAAAATAGACTTCATTCCATGAAATAAGGAAAAGGCTACATAAAATGTTTACCACAAAAAAAACAACCATTGTGGATACATTTTTCGGCTCTAAACAAAGCACCTTTGGTAATCAGCGTATAATTTATTTGATATTTTGATAAGTACGTTAATTAATTGACATTAACTAATATATTCAAATTCTAAATTTCTTACGCAGGATTTATGTTTGAAAATAAGACTTAACCCTGACCACAAACAACAAATGCAGCTAAATTTATAAAATGTTCTGCTTAATTTTAATACCGATATAGGGATATCCACTAGCTGTTACTCACAACTATCGACTAAACCTTGAAAACAAAAGCATTTGATTATTTTAATGAAGGCAAAAGTGGTCTGTGATAGATTGACGAGGAGCCACATTGGTGTTAACAGCCTTTATTTACAGACAGCCATGATGGTAAGAGAGGAAGGAAGTACAATGCACAAGGGACATCACTCAAGATAACAATATAAATATAATACTAATACAGAAGAGTGAGTTCCCTTGACCTCACAATTATCTCAATCTATTACATCCCTTTACCCTTAGAACACAATAATACATCTCTCAATAGAACAATTGATAGTATCCTAAAATCACCAATTATATTGTAACATGAACACTATGGTAGATTACATCCTTACAAACAATGCACAATATGCTACAACATAATCAAGATACAAAACAATGATGTCAAAGTCCTTTTGACCTTTAGAATCATAGGTCTAACTTATTTGGGACTTTGATTGTCCTGTTTGACCTTCTCAGTAGCTTTTGATTTGGTGACTCAATATTCTGACCATTTGGATTCTCTATCTCAGGAGGTCTAGGATTTAAATCATTAACTCCAGAATTTACATTTTCTGACTCCAGACAACTTGGTTCACTCATATCAACAGAACTTGGTTGTGGAACAAACTGAGTTGGTGTGAACTGATCAGACTAGGTGGGATTGACAGATTCACACTTATTATCTGCACAAGTTATTCTTAACTTTATAAGGCACAGGTCCTGTACATTGAACAATTTGACCTGGTATCCATTTTTCCTTTCTCCCATAATTTCTCAGATACACATTCTCATTAACACCAAATTCTCTTTCAATGCATTATTGCCATGATTTAATGGAACTATTTTTGAATTGGCATCTGGAAGTATTATGCTGTTATTCAGATCCTTAACTGACATAGATTTCTTTGATTGATCAATTTTCTCAGGTAATCTGAAGTGCACTTTTTGTAACCAAACATACTGTTTAAAAGTAATATCCTGGACAATATCACTTTGCAACTGTGATCCAGTATTTGAAGTGGGTGTATTAAATGGCAAAAATCTTTTTCTTCTTTTCTTTTGATGTTACCCTGTTAGTTTCTGTAAGTGCTAATGATGTTAGCAAAGTTGTTTGATGATCACATTCCTTCTTACTAATGTATTCTCTTTAAAACATTTGAAATTGCCATATCACCATAATCATTTATTAAGTTACAAATACTTTGTTTAGGCAACTCTGACTGATAATGGACTGCATCTTCTCCATCTTTTATATTATCTTTACAAAGGGTTTTATTTCTTATTTAATATGGCCTTAAGTCATCATTCACAGACTCTTCAGGCCAACCATTCTTACAGTACTCATATACTTTTATTAAGCACTCATCTTTTTGTGTTTCTCTCTTAATATCATTCACATTTATATTGGAGTTATCCATGATAGTGAAGAGAACAAATACATCTTCTGGTACATAGCTCAGGCTTTGGTTTTTTAAAGGTAATCTACTCAGACTATCTGCACTATTCTCAGATCCAGGTTTGTATTTCAATTCATAATTGTATGCAGTTAGTGTGATAGCCCATCTTTGAATTCTTGGTGAGGCATGCTCAGGTAGGGTTTTGTTTTCTCCAAACAAACCTAGCAATGGTTTATGATCTGTAAAGATGGTGAACTTCCTACCAAATAGAAACTTATGAAATTTCTTAACACCAAAAATGATGCCTAAGCCTTCCCTATCTAACTGAGAATAATTTTTCTCAGCCTGGTTCAAAGATCTACTGGCAAAAGCAATGGGTCTGTCACCCTTCTCATCCATGTGGGACAAGACTGCTCCTACACCATCTGGTGAAGCATCACATGTTAATATAAGTCTTTTCCCTGGGTCATAGTGAGTTAGTAAGGTGTCAGAAGACAAAGCCTCTTTTGCTGTATTAAAAGCAGTATCTTGTTGTTTACCCCAGTGCCAAGTTGCATTTTTCTGTAGCAGCTTGTACAGTGGTGATAGTTTACCAGACAGATTTCCTATGAACTTTGCATAGTAATTTATTAAGCCCAAAAAAGCTCTTAGTTGTTGGGTATTTTCAGGTTTGGGTGCTTCTTTAATGGCTTTTGTTTTCTCAGGTTGAGGTCTGATGCCTTGTTTGCTCAATATATAACCAAGAAAACTAATTTCTGTCAACATGAATTGACATTTATCTTTGTTTATCTTTAAACCTTTTTCACCAACAATTTTCAATACTTTATCAAGTGTTTTAAGATGTTCAGTGTCATTCTTACCAGTTATGTACACATTGTCAAAGTACACACAAACATTTGGAATGTCCTTAAAAATACTGTCCATGACAGCTTGGAAAATTCCAGGGCTAGATGATATGCCAAAACATAGTCTTTCATATTGGTAGAGTCCTTTATGTGTGTTTATTGTCGTATAGACTTTTGAATCTGGATGCAGTTCTAGTTGAGTGTAAGCATGACTAAAGTCTAATTCAGTGAATTTGTCTCCTCCTGCCAAATTCAAAGAAATTTCCTCAATATTAGGTATAGGGTACCTATTTAGCTCTATTTGCTTATTCAGTGTAGTTTTATAATCTCCACAAATTCTTATAGAACCATCCTTCTTTAACACTGGCACAATGGGCGACGCCCAATCGGAATAGTCTACCTTCTTTATAATGCCATTAGATTCCAATCTACTTAGCTCATTTTCAATTTTATTCCTCATTGCATAAGATGGAACTCTAGCTTTGCAGTATCTTGGATTTGTGTCTTTAATGCTTAACTTCACTGTTCTATCATTTAGTAATCATGGATTACCAAAAACACATTTATTTTCAGATATAACTTTATCTAGTGAAGTAAGACTAGATTCTTTTACATTCTTCAATGAACAAATACTCTCCCAATTTAACTTAAGATCACTTAACCAGTTCCAACCTAGTAATGGTGGTCCATTTCCTTCAACCACAAGAAGAGGAAGTTTAGCACTTTGACCATTATAACTTACATGAACCATACACTCTCCTGTTACCGGAACATTGTCACCAGTGTATGTTGTTAGACACTTGTGACATGGCTGTAGAGGCACTGATCCTCCTGTGACAGCGTCAAAATCTTTCTTTGTGATGACTGTTAGAGATGCTCCAGTGTCAAGTTGGAAGCTGATGCTCTTACCGTTGATATAAACTAGTACACTGATGGGAGCATGACTTATTGATTTCACAGAGAATAGGTTGAAATCCGGCTGCGAATCAGTTTGAGCATTTTCACAGGTAGAGTGGTTCATTGGTTGGGTTAGGTAGTCTTGGTGAGAGTTAACATAGTGCTGCTTTTGGTTGCGGTACTGTCTTGACTGGCTAGATTTAGCAACAGACGAAGACTTTGCAAAGCAGGCCTTGGCAATGTGACCTTGCTTACTGCACTTATAACAAGTTGCTAACTTGAACTTGCACCGATGAGATGCATGGGGACCTTTGCATCGATGACATTTTTGATAATTATTACTAGATTTAGATCTAGGATTTGAACGAGCAGGCTGTTTAGCATAAGTTGGAATGCTCTGATGGGGTTGATGTTTATTGACTAACCTGCTGTTTACTGCATGGATCTCTGAAGGTGCTAAAGATCTCGCCGCCTCAGATGACTGCTGGAATGACATTGCAAGTTGTATTGCTTTTTCCAATTTTAGATCTGACTCGAGCAGCAACTTTCTTTGAATATCAGGGCTGTTTACAACTGTCACAAACTTTTCACACAGTCTGTCAGACAGCGTGTCTCCGAATTCACAAAATCTACTTAAATGACGTAAAGCAGCAACATATTCTGATATTGACTCGTTTGGTTGACGAGTCCTACTGTCAAATCTAGCTCGACATAGAAACTTTGATGGTACAGGCGCATGGTGGTCTGTTAGCAATTTGCTCAGCTCGTTAAAGCTCTTGGTAGTTAGACTAGCTGGTGCGCATAAGTCTTTTAGTAGCCTAAATTGTTGAGGCCCTATGACTGTTAACAAAACAGCTCTCTTTTTGGCTTCTATCGTCACGTTGTTTGCTTCAAGGTAAAAGCTTAACCTATCTAGGTAATCTTGAATGATTTCATCATTCGCATCAAATTGTTTTATTTGGCCATACAGCGCCATTATTCTAGAAATAATTAGCTAATAAGCTCTAGCAAACCTCTTTTTTGCGTAAG